ATGGATGGATGGAAAATTAGAATATACTGATAAATGGCCTAACCAAATAAATGGTTGGAAGAATAAACATATTAATGTCTGGATGGATGACTTAGAATTGCTGATTTTCATCTAACTACTAAAGATTTTCTTTCAACGGAAGCCAAAGATATTTTGCTGTTAAGCACGAGAGAACTAGATCGATCTGCTGCTGCTCGCAATGTAAACAACAGGATCCAGAGTAGGATGCCAAAAACCTGTAATTTAGAAAATAATGCGCAGCTGTTGGGCATTCAAGGATTCCAGATCTGAAAGCCCACTGGGACTGGGGAAGGTCAGGGAAGAGGCATGGGGGGGGGGGGCTCACCTAGATCATCTTTAAGATCAAGTTCAGCATTGGTGGGGTTGATGACCCCGTCCACGTCAAAGCCAGCCAAGTTACTGACCTCGCTGTGGATAAGGTTGAGCTGTGATGGGGGGAACGGGGGGCAGGAGGAAGCATGCAAAGGTGGAGGGAGCAAAAAGGAAAAAAAGTGAAGAAGCAGAGGCATTAAAACCAGATTCACTTCTCAGCTTAGAGGAATACCTTGAACTTTGGAATCATCTCCAACTGATCTACAACCCTTGGTTGCAAAAAAATAATACTGTACTGAACTAAAGTATCTGGTATTTTCTGATAAAGGAACGCACCCCATCATTTTGACCAACCTTCGGTGTGGAAGCTGTTACTGGGTGAAGGAGACTCAAGGTTAATTGACTGTAATGTTAAGATTTTTCAAATGATCTGAGAGAAAGCACAACATGTTGGCAATGCCTGCAGATCATTCAGACTAAGAGGGAACAACATTTAAAGCTGACAACATGTCGGCTGAGTTGAATAACAACCTGCTTCAACCGTTTCATCTGCTAAGTAGAGATGCAAACCAATCTACTTACAGCTGTCTATTATTGGTTAATGAGATTAAAATATTTTTACATCCTATTAACTAATAATGTTAGTTATTACGTTAGTTGTATGTTATGTTGGTTAACGACCTCTCTCAGTGTTTTGTTTTAAGTGTTTCTGCCATCGAGAAGAGGGTGTTGCAGTTCACCCTTAAGAGAGATCACATCAATAAATGCAAGAGAAATGAAGATGTCGGCGGCATGCTTGAACAGAAACACCAACCGATCCAGATAAAGTTCAGTTGGGAAATTATTTTACAATCTTTAATATTAACAAGGATGCAGAATGCACTTTAGGCAGTTCTGTCTGTAAACATAAAAAACTCAACAAGCTGCTTAAGTTATGAAATAAAGAGAGAAAGCTGGTTGTGCTGCACGGCGGAGATGCACATACTCATCGGTGAAAGATTCAAAACATGCGTCTGTGTGCATCTGTGGGTGAGAGCCCACAATTTCACACATGAATTTCACTGGTTATGTAGTTGTCTGACGGCAACTGATTATCACCTCATCGCAAACGTTCCTTAAGAAATGAATGGAGAGGCAGTGGTTTTGATTCCTCTGGGTTAACCCCATAACAATAAAACATGTTGCTTATATCACTGATGGATTAGACTGAAAACAGAAAGCTAGATCACAGTTAGTGGCAGGAAAAGTCTGACAGTTTGTCAGAGCAACATACAGTCTTTAAGTGATAGTTTTGCATCTCTATTCATGGGGGATTAGAAGCATTTTATGGATTTTAATGAATTCCAATATAACAAAAACCTTCCTTTTCTGTTGTATTTTATAATTGCATGTCAGTATAATGTGTTAATAATATTTTATAAAGCATAAGATTTAGTACTTAAGTATTATGATGCACTTTTTTTTTTGCATATTGAAAACTATGTAATCCTTCATATAATAGAACGGCCCCCCTAAATATGAGCTTTTTTTTTTTTTTTATGCTACTCATAAATCTAGTCAACTTTAGATTAACTCGTTTATCAAAGACATTCATCCCCATTACCAACTCAGGTCATGGTACAAGCTGGTTTTTTTCGAAATATTTGAAACCTTTTTGAAACTGGACAGTTTGTTTAGGAGCGCAAAGCTAGTCATACTAATTGGACTAAAAGCTAACAATGCATGCTAAATCCATTTGAAAACATTTTTGTTAAATAGTAAAACCTTGTTTTAAATTTGCTGCTGAATGACATTCTGCTTCTGATGCAGCTCAGGATTTGAAGGCTTCATAAAAACTTTATAATAAGATAAAATGTGTCAAGCAAGGGTCATCATTTTTTCAGTCATTGAGTTAAGTTAATTTTTAAACACATCCTATAAAATCGGTCTACCTGGCTCTCAATCCCAAAAGGAAGCCTCTCTTAAAGACGATGCATGAGAAATCTCACCTCAAACAATTTGGTCACAACCTGGACATTTTCACATAAGGGTGCACCCGCTCCCCCCCCAACAGTTTTGATATTGATGGCAATATGCTAAGCTACTTTGAAGAGATCCAAGTAATTAACAGGTATATAGGCTACATACTGACCACTTTAAACGCCACTAAAGAGTTACATCCTCTAATGTTTTCCAACAAATGGGATTTAATAAGTGTTAAATATATAAGGGGAATACTAACTTTTGTTTGACATTAGTTTACCTTTGCTCTTGGCTATTAACTTTATCAGCTTATGTTTAACTAAGCAGAGCCATAAAAACAAAACAGATGCTAAAACTGTTGGTGTGTTTCGAAGCTAAGAATATTAGAGTGACCCTCTGAGTCTGGATTACATAGAGGCTCTCATCAAACCTCTACATTATAATTAATCAGCACTCACCCCAATCTTCTCCTTTTTTCCACCATCACACATTAACTGATTAGCTTTAGCATCTAAATGCTGTATCATCTGTAGGGATTAAGGGAAGGAAACTCCATTAAACTGGCCAAATATTTTACTGACAAAGCATGATGCCAAACTCCCCAAACATGGTTTGCAGTTTGTATATAGTGATTTAACAATAATACATAGGATTTAATATATTCAAAAACATTTTGCATTTGAACATGGCAGCAACGAAAAACATGATGCTTACGAATATCATGTTGGTTTTTCATAAAGGAGTCCAAAATATCAAGGTATTCCTCGAAGATGTCAAACAAAACACCTCATTAGCCCAGATTAATTCAAGGTTTGTTACCAGAAATTAAAAAAAGTTTATTTCTCCCATCCAAAAACATCACAATGCAAAATATGATTATAAGAAGACAAATCATCTGCAAGAAAAGTGGTGAAGAAAGACAGAAGTAAACAGGAAAGAATGGTAGAGTTACAAGAATCAGGTCTATAAAGGAAACTAGGTTCCTTTAACCTAAACTGAACCTAAACTAAAAAAAAGGAGCTAAAACAACAAGCAGTGCAAGCAAATGCTTTTTTCTTTTACTCAAACTGTGTAAATAACTGATTTTTTTCAAACTAATTTCTGAAATTACACAAAATCCTTTTATTTGCCAATTACCTTCGCTAGTAGTTTGTTTTACAGCAAATTCAGTTTAATCTGTGGAACTATTTACAAGATCCACAGCACAGGCAGATCAATAATGTGATTCTTACCTGCCACTCAAACAATTCTCAACTATATGTAAAAGAGGCGGTGCCCATTAATACATCTTATATTATTATTAGATTATTCCATGTAAAATATAATGAGCTTTTTAGCTCCAATTTTGAGTCTTTCATTGGTTTTATAGCTTCATGTTTAATTATTAAAAAGAAAAAGCAGTATAAACATTTTACCAATCCTCACAGCTAAGCTCCGCACTCACTGCACTTTACTCAGTGGTGAATTGATGTTCAGTATAATCATCTTGGACTTTTAAGCCAGAATTCTGAGCGCCCAGTAAACCGACCTTCTGACCCAGGAAGAGGCTCTTTGTGGAGAGCACAGTGAAGCTGTCTGCCAGAGATCCCTCCGTAGTGCTGTCTGCTGATGCCGACTTGCTCACCTCCCCTCTCTGTTAAAGACACAGCAAACATCAGGACGTCACACCATAGTACTGTCTGTAGTGAGATTGGCGTTTTTTTAACAGGATATACTTTAGAGTAAGAGGTCCGTCACATCATTACTTCTTAGCTTCCTTATGGCCTGAAAATATTGGTTACGATTTAACGCCAAATCTGATGAAAATATACTATCGTAAGAGTTTCTGGCACTTAAAGCTAATGGGGCTGGTCTTAGGTGAAACCAAGATGGACCCTTGACCTATTTGGGTCTGATCTACACAGCAATTTGGGGTCATGAGTCTGACAGGAAGAGAGACACGGTGGAAAGGTTAAAACCATCTGCTTTGGGGGAAAAAAGACATGATATAAAACAGCCAGATTCACCCTGTTTGAAACACACAGCCTGTATATAGCAAGCGGGGATACTCTGACCCTTGAACTTGGTCTTCGACGGGGCGACGCAGGTTGGGGTCCTGGCCTGGTGACCTTTGCTGCATGTCTTCCCCCTTTCTCTAATCATATTTCCTGTCTACCTACTTTAGAAAAACAAATAACTAACCAATAGTGTCTTAAAAAAATATTCTTTTAAAATATTCTTTTAAAAAAAAAATAAAAATCACCTTTCAGGACTCATTCCACTGCCTTTGTTGGATCAGCATTTTCTTTTCCTTAAATGTAGTTTTCATTATACTGTGTATATAAATACCTTTTACCTGTTGGTTTCTAAGAGCATGGTGCGCAGGTTGGTCATGAGGTGGGATGTTGCTTTTATTTTGATTGACAGCAGGCCCAGATCTGTGACAGTGTCTTAAACTCTCCTTTCTTTATATTCAAGAAAGACTGTTGATTTTTTGACTTTTCATTATCTGACCTATTCTCAAACTGTGTAGCACTGTCATTAACGCACAGAACGAATTACTATCTCTTTAAGAAGAGCACAAAAACTGAGTTACATTCAAATAAAACTGATATGGCGTTAACGTCTTTATCTAAAACAAAGCAACCTTAACAAAATACTTTATTCCCCCCCAACAAAGGAGGTTATTCTTTCATTAGTGTTGGTTTGTCTGTTTTCAAAAGAACTGAAAAGTTATGGATGGATTTTGCAGAGAGGCATGAGGGATTGCATTCAAGTCAATGAGTTGATGCAATCAACTGGTTTTCCTTAGATAGAAAACTTTGAATCAATTTGACTGTATGATCTGGTGAACTGTAACGTGCCTTGAGAGGACATGTGTTGTGAATTGGCGCTATAGAAATAAACTAAATTGAACTGAAATATTGTGACTGGCGACATTTTATTACATTTTGGTAATTATCCAGATGCCCATCTGGATCCAGGAATTTTTTGAAGATTCTCTGAATACAGGTATTACAGGTAAAGGTGGAAGACGCAATATGTCGGAGGGGAATGAGCTACTTGATGGAGGACGGGGCTCTCTAGTTTTGAAATATATTTAAACTCTCATTGAACACCTTGAACTCCTGCAGCAGTGCACTGTTTACTCAAGATATAACAGATGTCTGTGCCTCTGCTATCAGTTGTTGAACAATAGGAGCCAAAAATATTGTGATCACACCATAAGAAGATGAAGAAAAGTAAGAAAAAAGAAGGCCTGACTTGTGGAGCAGTCCTGCACCGGAAAGGATTCTTTATGCAAGTTGTCAGATTTAGGACGATAATGTAAGTGTTGGAGGAAATGCAACAGAACTGTTCGGATGACAGACTCTTTGAAATCTGTTTAAAATTAATCAGATGCAGCACTGCATATAAAAATGCCACAATTCAGTTTTTTTAAGGGGTTTAAAGGTTGGAATTAGAGCCACTCTGATTGCCATGAAAGGTTAGATATGAGTCACATAAGGGTTTATTTACACACAAAGTGAATGTAGCCTTAGCGATCCACGCAGAGCCGCAATTTTAATGCCTTGAAAATAGTTCGATAGGCTGTTGGGACATCTGATCAGGAAGCCCTCTGGATGCCTACATTTTAAAAAGTTTTTAGCACATCTTCCACTGTAAGAAGACTAAGACACAAAAGCATGGTGTGCGTCTAAAAAGCCAAACAACTCGACCTCTGTGTGATTCGTAATGACATACTGCCCTATTCTTAACACGCTCAGTGATAAAATAATCAGGCATCAGACTTAGGCGCATACCTTAGTCTTCCCTCCAGCCTTTTTCCCACCAAGTTTCTTAGCTGCAGTTTTCTTCACTGTTTTGGGTTTCTTCTCAGGAGCCGGCGACACAGGCGTTTCCAGTTTGCCTTTGGCGCCCCTCTTCTTAGCCAGAAGTTCCGGGTGGATGTTGGGTAAGACGCCGCCTGCTGCGATGGTCACACCTTTGAGCAGCTGTTACAGAGAGAGAAAGTGTAACATCTGAGATGTCCTGAAAGCAGTACATCAACCATTTCTGTGCTTTTGGATAGCAGATGAATTGTTGACAACAGATCACCTGGTTTAGCTCCTCATCGTTGGCGATGGCCAGCAGGATGTGCCGAGGTGTTACACGGCCCTTTTTGTTGTCTCTTGCTGCATTACCTGCCAGCTCCAAGATCTCAGCTAAATATTGGGAAACAGACGATCAAAATGCCAAACTCAGTTTGTCGGGTAAAATCTTTAAATAAGCAAGGTTATCAGTAAAATGTGTGAAAGGACTTTCTTGAGGGAATGGAGAGATAAGTTGCTGCATGTTTCTGTTATTACTGATCTGCTGCAGTTTCAAGCGCCAGGAAGGTTGCAACACAACTTTGATGTTATGATGCAAGCAGAATTTTGCACTGTCCAGCTAAAATATACAAGATTTCCCTAAAGAGATTTTACTCCCCAAAACCTTTGCTTAGGACAATATAAATGCTTCCTTAACAGCTGTCAAAGACAGTTATTTCTGAAATACTTTCAAGAAACAAATTTTGGGAAAAGGTCTGCCACTTTTTAAACTATTTTCTATCATTATATCAGGAAAAAAAAGCTGTTATTTAAACGCTCTAAGCTCAGACAGCAAAAGTCAGTTTATTATTATTTTGATATCTATGGAGTTTTTTTGTTTGTTTCCTTTAACAACTAAAACAAGTGGAAAGAAAACACAAAACAGGTTTTGCAGTGTGTCCATTTTGTACTTTTATACAATCTTGCTTCAAATATAAATAAATGAGTTTTATAATTCAATTAGTCTATTATCTTAGAGGAATTATTAAAGTATATACTCTGTGTAATCTGGGAAAATGTTTCCATACTCATAGGATGAATCTGTGGCAATGGCACAAAACATACAACCAAATACTGCAACCAAGCATTTCTATGCAATTCCAATATTGCATACAATCATGATGGAATGAAAAAAAGCAGAATAACACATTTTGGAGCTAAAGCAATGACCTTATTTCTGTGTTAAAAAAAAAAAAAAAAAGAGACCTCACCGGTCAGATACTCCAGGACAGCAGCCAGGTAGACGGGTGCTCCCACTCCGATGCGATATTTAGGCAGCCCCCTTTTGATGTAGCGCAGCATGCGCCCCACAGGGAAAATGACCCCAGCCTTGGTGGACCTGGACGTCTTGGTTGTCTTCTTCTTTCCTCCTCGGCTCGACATGGTGCTCCAAATGCTACCAGTTTCTGGATCCACACAGTAAGAAAAATAAATGTAACCATCAAGGTTTTTAAAAATTTTAAGAAATGCAGATAGAAATTGGTTAGCGATGAGGTTTAGCGGAATTTACGCCTGTTTCATCTGACTGGTTATTGGCCAGTTACACACTACTACTACTACTACTAAATGTAACATTTTTCTTTTCCCTTCACTGGTGATTGCACCACACCCCTCCTTTTTATAGTGGAAACCTGAACGCAGAGCTCTAAACAGTTTGTGTTCAGGAATGCGTGTGCTCTGAAAAGAGATACAAGTTGCCCCTTTGCTAACCAGTGACCAGGATCCTCTCTGCAGATCTAGGGTTGTCACGATACTAAACTTTTCAACTCGATACCGATACTAAGGAAAATATTCGATACTCGATACCATTTTCGATACCACAAGGATAAAAACAAAGACTCTAAAAGTCTACAGAAATATTTTCATTAATAAATAAAATACAATAAATAAACACAATAAAGGTTGTANTGGACGTCTTGGTTGTCTTCTTCTTTCCTCCTCGGCTCGACATGGTGCTCCAAATGCTACCAGTTTCTGGATCCACACAGTAAGAAAAATAAATGCAACCACCAAGGTTTTTAAAAATGTTAGCGGAATTTACGCCTGTTTCATCTGACTGGTTATTGGCCAGTTACAAACTACTACTACTACTACTAAATGTAACCTTTTTCTTTTCCCTTCACTGGTTATTGCACAACACCCCTCCTTTTTATAGTGGAAATCTGAGCGCAGAGCTCTAAACAGTTTGTGTTCAGGAATGCGTGTGCTCTGAAAAGAGATACAAGTTGCCCTTTTGCTAACCAGTGACCATGATCCTCTCTGCAGATCTAATTGTTGCTAAAGATGGTTTTGAATGGCAACTCTGTAATCATTTTGTTTTTGCAATGAAATCTGCAGAGCTATTTAACACCGACTGCCGCACATGATGGTGTCTTTGGTCCTCATATTACAGTATATTACAGATCTTTTAAAACAATGGTTCTCAAAGTAGGGGGGTATGTCCCCTAGGGGTGCACACTGGAACTGATGGGATACAAATGAACTGAATTAATTATACACATTTGGAAGGTATTACAAAATGTATTGATAGGAGTGTTGAATTTTTTTTTTTACACGGAGAAATAATACAGCTGACCTAAAATTCATTTAAAGGTGGTAGTTTTGGGATTTGAAGTTTTTAGTTATTTTATTGCAATATGAGATTTGCCTGAGCCAACTTTGTTCAGCTGTTGAAAAGGTTATTGGAGGGTTTGGAAAATTGTGAACCTATAAGAGGCAAGCAAAAACAGTTAGGAAAGCACTGCTCTAAAGGAACAAATGTCAAAATATGGTGAAACTCTTTCCCTCTTGAGATATGCAAAAGGAGAAAAAAAAGAATAAGTAAAGCTTACCCCTAAGTCAGGTTTTTTTGTTTTGTTCTTTTGTTTGTTTGTTTTCAATTCATACATGCTTTATGGTTGAAATTGGTTTTAAATATGTCAAAGGTAGTAAGTATGTAATTTGTTATTCATAATCCTCTAAAACTTACTGAACCAAAATGAATAATGGAAATTGGCTACCAAACTTCAGGATGCATGGAAAGCTGAATTTAGGATGTATGACAACAATAAGTGTTATAGTTTTACATAATTAAACATCTTAACAAAGGTTGAATTTGCTCCACTGATTTATTATTGACATAACTATCTAATGTGTATTAGATAGTGATGTTATGAAATGAGCCAAAGCTTTGAGGCGTGTGTAGAGTAATGGAGGGGCTTTTCCACGAAGCGCGTATCTAGGCTTGCTTCATTTAGGGGAGGAGCCAAAATCAATGACATCCGAAGCCCCAAACTTTGACAGGCATTTAAACATCCTCACAACTCAGTCAAGTTGTGGGAGTTTGTAGGAAAGTTGGATAGAGTTTGTTTATATTCTAAGAATAGATTGGTTGGAAAAAACAAAACAATCTAGTTGATAAAACTAGTTTGGTTAGATTAAACAATGCAATGATCAATGAAATCTGAGCAAGCCACTTGTTACAGTGGTAAGATTAGTGTTAGTAGTATTGCTTTCAGATTTGAAGTCATTGCCAGTGGGGTCAGCTGTATGACATTGACTTTCAATCCTAAGGTTGTGGGCTGAAGACCCTCCTTGGACTTTTGAAAGTTGGAATAATACTTAAAGAGTATTTTGGCTAATGTCACTAATGTGACTAATTTGTATAACTAATTTACTAATTTGGTTTGTTTTGGTGCAAATATAGATTGGGTAAAAACAATGCCAAACACTGCCAGATTAGATTTGTTGGTTTAGCCAAAAGACTGGTTGAAAACATAACTTCCAACCCAAAAAGTGTGGAAAAACTATTATTTTTGAATAAAAATGACTAACACTTTTCGTTTTGCTAACCTTTACTCAATTTGCACAAACACTTTCACCGTCTGCTTGAGCTAAAAAAAAAATGCATAAAAAAAAAAAAAAAAAATCACAATTATATTACTAACTGTAGTTCTGCTTTCCACCGGTAGGTGGTGACATTTTCACATGAAGCTTCATGAACTGTGGGGATATTTGAAGCAATTAGCCCAAACGGTTCAATGCCTCATGAGGCTTCATCTCACCATCACTGGAAATAGTGACTTTTTATTGTTTCTCATTAAAGAAAAAATAAAAAGTGAATATTTCCAGTATATTTTCCTATTTCATGTGGTTTTAATCTTTTAACTCAGTCCATAACTGGAGAAAAGTGCAATATCACATAAGTAAAAAAAAAAATTAAAAAGTTGTATGGAGCTTCTTTCACAAAACAAACTCAAAAAATCAAAAATGATGCAGAGGGAATCAGGAAAACCAAGAGCTTTATTTGTTCACAAACCCATGGTGACAGCTGAACAATGTGCTCCGGGAGTCCCAGAGGTATTAGCTGGGTAATTACTCTAGATACACAACAGGCTTATTGTTAATATTGCCTTAATGCTATAAAAAAAAGCAACCTAAATGTCACACTCACTGTGCACAAATATGTCAATCATTATAAAATCCCATGTGCAGAGATGTTTTATTCATGACAGATGGGCATTATAGACCTCAGAGTGGTCGTTAATGTAGACAGAATTTAATTATTTTGGTTTAGTAAGTAAATAACTTCAATATTAAAAGTCAAGACCATTATTCATTCCAAGAAATGTAATCTAAAGGTATATTGAATGAATGTTTTTAACACCAGATGTAGAGCCTAATTATCTTGTCTGTCACTGGGAATCAATTACCCGCCACCATAGGCCATGCTTTTTTTTCTCTGTATTTCTGCTCTAATAGAAACACTATACGCCACGTTACAGTCGAAATGACGCCAAGAGATTAGATTACAGCTATATATGAATAAAAAATAAAACAAGAATTAGGTTTAAATCATCTGCGGCATTTCTTCCTGCGGCCAGGTGTAGGTGGGTTTCTAACCGCCACAGTGGGCATTTCTCTGCTGCCCGCTGACATCGATTTCCGCATGTCAACAGCCAGCTCCATGTCCCCTACAAGTCATTTATTTCCTCCCTCGGCGTAACCGACGCGGCTCATAACAGAAATACAGCTGTCAGACGATAAAGGGCAATTTTTCCCCTCTACATGTCGGCATGTATTAGCCGGGCAGAGCGGCAGCAGCTGCCCCGCTCCGCCTTCCTTCGGCTCCAGCTCTCGGCCTCCATGGCAGCCAGCGAGCGACGGGAAGGGGGGGAAAAATGGCAGCCTTAACGGCTCAATCCACTGCGCAGATCCGTGCTCGACAGTCAACATGGGACAACGCTAAAAACAACGCGAAGCAATACTAACCTGATAGGATACTTACAAAACAACGGTGCGGTTTTTTTTCTTTCTTTTAAATGCTCTTCCAGTTCTCCCGGTAACAAGCCTGGGCAGTGTCCCCCACCGTCTCCCAGAATCCACAGCGAGCCCGGAATATCAGCGCGAGCCAGAGCTGCCCGCGGAGCTCCACCGGAGCCGCTAAAGCTCAATCTTTAACCCTTTAAACATTCACTTTGTCCTCAAAGCACACCGCTTCGACAGACGTTGTCTGTGTTTACGAAGAAATATTGTCAAATTCGACATGTAAGCTGGAAAAGTGTCAATTAGGCAAATATATCTGGTTCATCTTTGACCTCAGCTGTCAGTTTCACTTATACAGCATCTTGTCAAAGCATTGGAATGCAATCATCATGAATAAATTAAACCAAACATTCTGAGTAAAATACCTCAGTTAAATCAACAGATTACCTCAAAGATAAATAAAATATTAACTCCCTCCTTGTAGAAGATTTGATATTAACATTTTAGGAATACCTATAACCCTGTAACCCTTCTGTGTTATAGAAGAGTAAATTACCAAGATCAAGGAAAATTAAAGCAAACCAGTGAAGCAAGATAATCAACATTCGTGTCATTGACATCTGTGAAGCTCATAGATTGACACCCTTTACAAATTAGGAACATTTTAAATGGTAATTTCTAAGCTGGCTGGTCACAGAATAGCCTACTGTATCCAAGGGCAAAGGGGAAACAATGGTTGACAAAGAAGCAGCAGGGAAGGTGCACCAGCAAAAGGGACAATCTCAGGCTGTGGAGATTTACTGTGTTTAGAGTCAAATGCAATGGAAAATCAAGTTGTATGAAATCTTAGCATTTACGTTTCATTAGAATGCATGGAGCTGTTCAGAATGTCAATTTTAGTTGTACCTATGCAGCAAGCTTGAAAAGTTAAGTTTAGGCAACTATATACATA